TAAAGGCATTTTAGAAATTATTTTATAAAATTTATAAAAAAGGGTGACCAAATTTTTTTATATAAAAACTTTATATTTCTTAAAATAACCCAAAATTTACATGTTTGAGTTTGCAATACAGTTTAGATTAAACATGTAAATTTTGGGTTATTTTAAGAAATATAAAGTTTTTATATAAAAAAATTTGGTCACCCTTTTTTATAAATTTTATAAAATAATTTCTAAAATGCCTTTAACTTGGAATCTAAACTGTATTGCAAACTCAAACATGTAAATTTTGGGTTATTTTAAGAAATATAAAGTTTTTATATAAAAAAATTTGGTCACCCTTTTTTATAAATTTTATAAAATAATTTCTAAAATGCCTTTACCTTGGACGTTTTTAAATGTTTTTTATGCTATCCCTGTTAGAATTTAATTGCGCTTATGATAGGCATAAAACATATTCAAATATGTTATTTAATTTTCCAAACAAATGGCGCTCTATGGCAGAATTGGCCATGGTCAAAGTTCAACTGTAAGCAAGAACGCGATATATTTATAATTATTTTTTAATATCATTTAAATATAGTTTCCCCTCTACCATACCCACTACTTCATAACTTTCTAACTTTAGTAATCTTGGCGCTGACTATGGGTCCAGCAAACCATCTAATATCACAGAATATTCCGGGTGCTATACAGAATATTCTTGTTTTTTCATGGCTACCTCATAATGAACTCTAAGTGTGCCAGAGTATAGATTTTAACTACAAGTAATAAGCGAGTTATTAAACATTTTGTCATCTTGGAAGTTTATGTAGATCTTTATATATCATATACAGTAACTAAGTTATATGTCTTCCTGTTTTGTTTGTGTTAACAATAAATCAGTCATTAGTTTGAAGTTTGAGTTAACGTTGGGTTCAATGATATTGCCGTCAATTGACTCGTGTTTGACATTCACTGCAAACAAAACACATAAAATAAAAAATAGATAGAAATAAAACAATTCTTATAATTAATCCTTATTTACCAATAGTATTGTCAATGTACTCACGATTTAAGTCACTATCCAGTTGTCTATCAGTTAATTCAGTAATTTCTGTAAAATAAATAAAAACTATTAAAAGTGTACGAAATAACCAAAACTAATGTCATTCACACCTGTCGATCGGCACCGACGGGTAACCACTTTACCGGGATTTGTGTGCATTTTCTTATGTACAGTCATATCGTCCGTGAGTTTACACCTAAACTGACAGCCCTTACGCTGGCATTCAATCCACGGTACGTCGGGAAAGGCATCCGAGTGTTGTCTCAACTCGTGTTGAGTTAAATAACCCTTACTTTGAAACCTTTGATAACAGCCTTTAACTGAACACTTGATTTGGCTTTCGATAGCCTTTTGAGAGCCTTTCCCATCGCGCGAGAGCTTCGGTAGCTTTTTGTGATTATATGTCTGAATATGTCGTTTGAAACTTGGTTTATATTTAGTCTTAAACTGACAGCCCGTGTGTTGGCATTCATAAGAGTTTGAATGTATTTTCTTGTGCCAATTCATATCAGTATTGAATTTAGTCCTATACTGACAGCCAGTATATCGGCACCTAATCCATGGTATGTTCGGGAAGTCATTGGGATGTAGTCTTAACTCATGTCGAATCACATCTTGTTTGTTGGAAAGCCTCTGAAGACATCCATTGACTGAACACTTGAATAGTCTGTCCATTGAGTGAATCAATCGATTGATTAATTGCTTATCAAAAACACCACGAAATACATACCGTCCACTCATCGCATCTTTTGTCACATTTTTCTTAACTTTCTTTGCATTCAATTGTTTATCACTTCTTCTGGTGTTGTGAACAGACTTTCCTATAATTCGCATACTTTTAGTGTTCTTAACGATTGTGTCATTCAATTGATGATCACTTCCTCGTGAGTCGTGTCCATCAATCGGGTCTTCATTTTCATCACTCACTTCGTGTCCATCGCTTCCACAGTCTTCACATTCAATGGACTCTTGATTCTTGTGGTCAACACTTGTCCGCAAAACTACTGATAAATGAAATGAAAATCAAATGAATTGTAAATAAAATAATTGTTTTATTCATTGAAAAGCCATTCATTTGATTACCATTTGATTCACGAGTTGTGACAACACTTCCACCGATGACTGTCTGGCCATCAGTTGATCCGCAAGTGATATGACTTTGTGTGCCATTAGTTGACACAAAACCTCCGATTTTTTGTATTAAATCACAAGAAATTTGTTTAATATTCAGTAAATCTGTTAAATATTTTCCGCAACTCTTTGACAGCAATTCATATCCGATTAAGTCGTTTGACAACCGATTGTTTTCTCGTTTTAATCCGTTTACCAATGAATACAACTCTTCGCGACTTAATTGCGATAAATCCGCGAAAGTTTCACTCATTTTGAGCACTAATTTAATTGCAATTAAAACCTAATTTCTGCTGAAAATAACGTCAACTTTAAACACAATAGAAATGAAAGTTTCATCAAAACATAAATCAAAACATAAACACAAATCCAATGAGAAGTCAATTCACGCTTTCATTAATAGAAAACGTCTACAAAAATAGTTTCAAAACTGTTGCCAAACTTTTTTCAACAACTTTTCACATAAAATAATTTTATTATCACTGAAACTACAGTATATTTAAATAAATATTTTACACATTTATAC